AAATTCTACTTCATTGTTTGTACCATCTTTTGGACCAAATCCAAAGGATGTTAACATGCTGCTTTCAGCACAGAAAAGCAGTCTAACTCTGGCTAATGCTCACATACAATGATATAGAAGCCAGAACCCTTACAATTTACTTACATTTTCAGAATCTTTGAATAACTTATACAAAGTATACTCTAAACTTTTGGTAAGTTGACTGTAAAAACTAATGAATTTTTTTTTGGCCCACTTAAGATGGCAAGTGGTAAAATATTTGAATTAAAAAAAAATTTAAAAACAATGATTTGAAATACAGGTTGAGCAATCCTAACCTTAAAACTCAAAATCCAAAATGCCCTGAAACTGAAACTTTCAGAGTGCCAACATGACACTTAAAAATTTTCAAAAGAAAAAAAATCATATTTTGGAGCATTTCAGATGTTTGGGTTAGAGATCAGATTAGGAATGTTCAACTAGTAAAGCTCAAGCAAATTATTCCAAAATCTAAAAACCTATGGTATCTGAAATATTTCTGGTCCCAAGCTTTTCAGATAAGGGATACTAAACCAATATAAAAGAACCCAGACCTTGGGGCCAACACTGTGGAGTAGCAGGTAAAGCAGCTACCCACAGTGCTGGCATCCCATATGGACAGCAGTTCAAGTCCTGGCCACGCCACTTCTGATCCAGCTCTCTGCTTTGGCCTGGGAAAGCAGTGGAAGATGGCCCAAGTCCGTGGGCCCCTGCACTCATGCGGGAGATCTGGGAGAAGCTCCAGGCTCCTGTCTTTGGACTGGCACAGCTCTGGCTATTGTGGTCAACTGGGGAGTGAACCAGTGGATGGAAGACCTCTCTCTCTCTCTCTCTCTCTCTGCCTCTCCTCTCTCTGTGTAACTCTTTCAAATAAATAAATAAATCTTAAAAAAAAAAACAACCCAGATCTTGGCTTCTAATATTATTCCCTACTCAAAGGGGACAAGGATACTTGAAGAAATGGCTAACTCCAAGGTTGAGGAAGAGAAGGAATAAGATAAGCCTATATCTATTTGTTGGGTCAGAAAAGTAGCCCTGTCAAAGAAGGAATACAAGCCTGGGAGGTGACCCAGGTCAAATACAGCACATTTTTTGAATTAAAATAATGAAAATAATAAAAGGGCAAGCACTGTGGCACAGTAGGTTAAGTGACTATCTGCACAACTGGCATCCCATATGGGCAGTAGTTCAAGTCCTGGTTGCTCCACTTCCAATCCAGTTCCCTGTTAATGTGCTTGAGAAAGCATCAGATGATGGCCCAAGTCCTTGGATCCCTGTCACGCCTGGTCCAGCCCTGGCCACTGTGGCCATTTGGGGAGTGAATCAGTAGATGGAGGATCTCTCTTTCTCCCTCTGCAACTCTTTCAAATAAATAAATCTTTTAAAAAAGAAAATAATTAAATTGTATGCTATAAAGGTAGGGGAAGGGACAGGGGACTGGAATCCATGAGTCCATGTCTCAGATCAGGCAGAAAACAGGAGAAAACTCATGTTTATAAGTGCCAACTGCTGACTGGTAAAAGTAGATAGAGAGAATATGGTGTTGGAAAATAATGACTTTGTACCTATGATAATAAAAATCGGCATAAAAATCATCAGTACATGCTAAATCTAAGGGAGAATGACTGATGAGCAGAATATGTCCAGAGTTTTAAAAGGTTCTCCTACAGACTGTTTATTAGTTGCACAGAAAAAAACAAAACAAAACAAAACAAAACAAAAAACAGTAACTACACAGAAGGGAAATCTCATGACTGACAAGGTTACCAAAATTATTAGCATTACTGAGGGGCAGAGAAACAGCCTGTACTTCTACAAGTATACTCTCAGAAGGACACCCTTACAAGAAACACAGTTAAAGAATATTCCAATTGAAGTTCAATCTGAATATGAAGACAGGAAACACCAGAAAATACAAAATAAGCAACATTCTATTAAAAATGGTGGTAGGTAGTTACACTATTAAAATATTAATGTCATAAGACAAAGTTTGAGTATTACAAATAAAAAAAGCCAAAAGATAAATGAACTGTAAATGCAGTATATATTGTATACTGGCTTCTACACTGGAAGAAAGAAAAGGCACAGGTGGCTACAAAAGCTATTACATATTAGGTCAAATGACAAACTGAAATATAGATGGTAAAATATTCAATGAATGCTATATTTTCAAAGGTTGATAACTGTATCATTTATGTGTTTTTTATGTTCTTTGAAATGTAACTAAACAATTTAGCATCAAGGAAGATGAAATATGTAGCTTTCTCTCAAATGGTTCAAAAAAACTGTGTGTGTGCACACTTTTGTTTATAAGGGAGGGAAGGAGAAAGAAGAAGGAGACGAAGTAAGGTTGAGGAAAAGAGGAAAGGTGAAGAGAGATCTTACATAATAAATCAATAGAGCAGAATGACAACAAGGTTCATGTGAATAAAGGATATATAGATACTGACACTATCCTTATAACTTTTTTGTTAGTTTGAAATTATTTCTAAATAAAATGTTTTAAAAATATCCAAGAATTTCCAGATCCATCTGCCATTATGCCTTAAGCTGCTGACTTTCTGTCAATTTATCTAGGAAAGAAAGGCCTAGGTAGTAAGAAGTGAGGAGGGAGAACCCAATTTAATCACAGTGAATTTCCTTAGACAATCCTAGGAAGTTGTGAAGAAGTATTGTCATGAATATGGAAATAACATAAATATTACATTCTCCACTTTAACTTGGATTCTAAAGATCAATAAAAAAGGTTACCTAAAAATTATTTAGCACTTGGGCTACAGAACTCTAACTTATTCACACTGAACTGACCAGAAGGGGAATTGGATCCACTATCTGTTGGCATTAAACACTATCCAGAGCAGAGGAGACCATTGGTATATTCTTCACTTTCTGTCTTCACTGACAACATAACCTCTTTTTAAATTTTTTTTTAAGATTTATTTATTTCAGAGGTAGAGTTACAGACAGAGGGAAAGACACAGAGAGAGGTCTTCCAACTCCAAATGTCTGCAAAGGCCAGAGCTGGGATGATCTGAAGTCAAGAGCTTCTTGTGTCTCTGACATAGGTGCAGTGGCCTAAGCCCCTGGATCATCTTCTACTGCTTTCACAGGACATTAGCAATGAACTGGAACAGAAATGGAGCAGCCGGGACTTGAACAGCTGCCTATATGGGATGCTAGCACCACAGGCAGCGGTTTAAGCTACTATACCACAGAGCCAACCCTGACAACATAACCTCTTCATTTCAAATAGAAGCAAGAGGCTGTATTGGTCTGACAGTCATTAAATATGTCAAATCAAATATTGAGTAGTTTGTATAATCAAAAGCCTTCAGTTTTGTTTTTGGTTTGTTTGTTTTTGAGAGGCAGAGAAAAAGAGACACAGAAAGAGAGTTCTTGCCTACTGGTTTACTCACACAATGCCTGCAATGGCTGGGACTCAGACAGGCTGAAGCCAGGAGCCAGGAATTCAATCCAGGTTTCCCATGTGGGTGGCAGGAACCAAATTATTTGAGCCATCGCAGCTATTAGCTGGAAAGTTGAAGTCAGAGCCAGAGGTGATCATCCCAACTGGCAGCTTAACCACAGTTCCAAACACTAGTGCTAACTTTCAGATCTTAATATGGATTCTCACAAAGATCTCAAAGAGGAGGGACTGCAGGTGATGTTGATAATGCACATTTTATGAAACCTTTTAATATTTCATGGTAAATTAATGAACTAACAAGATGGTTTAATGAACTAGGATGAGTCTTCATCATGAAATATGATTTGGGTCTTCTTGTATTGAAAAATCAGATTTCTGCACCCAGAAAAAACTCATATGAAACTTATAAGCGCTGGCGCCGTGGCTCACTTGGCTAATCCTCCACCTGCAGCGCTGGCACCCTGGGTTCTAGTCTCAGTTGGGCACCGGGTACTAGTCCTGGTTGCTCCTCTTCACAGCTCTCTGCTGTGGCCTGGGAGGGCAGAAGAGGATGGCCCAAGTGCTTGGGTCCCTGCACCCGCATTGGGAAACCTGGAGCAAGTACCCGGCTTCAGATCGACACAGCGCCAACAGTAGCGGCCATTAGGGGAGTGAACCAATGGAAGGAAGACTTTTCTCTCTTTCTCTCTCTCTCACTGTCTATAACTCTATCTCACACTGTCTAACTCTGCCTGGCAAAAAAAAAAAAAAAGAAACTTATAAGCATGAATTGGTACCGTGAGACAATGTACACACAGGTTGAGTATGCCAGATGCCTAAGATAAAGGTCACACTGTCTGATAACCAGCACCTACTGACAAGTGGTAAAAGGTATAAAGACTGTGGTTTCTGTGAGAATAGGCCCAAGATGGGTTCCTCCTAGTACCTAGAATAGGTTTCCTGCCCATCCCTCATTCCTGAAATTCCCTAAACTGCTGATATTGTCATGAATCCTTTCTGCTTTAATTAGAGAAAGCAGACCCAGTTATCAGAAACTAAGAACCTCAACCAATACTCTAAAAGAGCATTTTAAATGTTTATACTTCTAACCTATGAATTCTGGCCTGATCATATTGATAACACCACCACTATTAAGAATAAGTTAACATTTACGTAGGCACTTAAATGATATATCAAGCATTGTGATACATGATTTACAGATATTCTGATTAAGTGTTTTATGTTTGATGAACAATCAACACCTGGGAGGACTGGCTGGAAAATCACAGGTTTACCAACAGAGGAAACCATTTTATTAATAAAGCAATTCATGGAGACTATATTCTTACAAACATTCACATTATGATCAATATTTTAAAAGACACTTAAACCTGGAAATTAGTTTTACCTTGTTGCTCTCTGTCAAACGTTAAACAGAAACATAAAAAGTAGTTCATGATTTTTAAAGTAGCCTATAAAGTTAAAACTTGAAGTTTCAACAAAAATAAACATGACATTAAAATATTCCTAAATATTGACCTTGTGATTGTACTTTTGAAAGAAAAGTTTTTTGTACCTGGAGATTGATCTCCGCCTCATAGAAAGTTAGGCATGAGCAATAATGTCGATCTGAGTCAATATCTGTCAGGACCACCACGAAGAATGTTGGCTGTTTCCTCTCTCTGGACAGCTGCCATCCACCAGGCTGACAAAACTGAGAGAAATAAAGCTGTCATGTATTAAAAGCATAATGAAAATATACCAAACATTAATCTATGAGAAATGTTAAACATTCACCCATTTAATAAGATTACTACTGGATGTGGCATGTCATATTTTTTTTTATTTTTTATTTTTTGAAAGGTAGAGTTATAGACAGTGAGAGAGACAGAGAGAAAGGTTTTCCTTCCATTGATTCACCCCCCAAATGGCCGCTACGGCAGGCGCTGCGCCGATCTGAAGCCAGGAGCCAGGTGCTTCTTCCTGGTCTCCCATGTGGGTGCAGGAGCCCAAATACTTGGGCCATCCTCCACTGCCTTCCCGGGCCACAGCAGAGAGCTGGACTGGAAGAGGAGCAACCGGGACTGGAACCCAGGGCCCATATGGGATGCTGGTGCCGCAGGCAGAGGATCAACCAAGTGAACCACGGCGCCAGCCCCAGCATGTCATATTAACCAACCTAAAAAAATTCATGCACAGATTCATAATGTAGGATATGTCTTTTTTTTTTCTATTTATTTATTTATTTATTTATTTATTTATTTATTTTTGGATAGGCAGAGTGGACAGTGAGAGAGAGACAGAGAGAAAGGTCTTCCTTTTGCCATTGGTTCACCCTCCAATGGCCACCGCATTGCACTGATCTGAAGGCAGGAGCCAGGTGTTTCTCCTGGTCTCCCATGCGGGTGCAGGGCCCAGGCACTTGGGCCATCCTCCACTGCACTCCCTGGCCACAGCAGAGAGCTGGCCTGGAAGAGGGGCAACCGGGACAGAATCTGGCGCCCCGACCAGGACTAGAACCTGGTGTGCCAGCGCCGCAAGGCGGAGGATTAGCCTATTGAGCCACGGTGCCAGCTGATAATGTAGGATATGTCTTATGAAGATATAGGTGCCATTCTGAGACGTCATCTCTGAAACCTAGGTTGGCATGTGTAGGAACGCAGCAACAAAATGAAAGACTTTCTCCCAATCATTAGTACAAATCATGAAATAAAGTCAATTGCAGGTAAAGTGAAAATTACCTGGTAGAAAAGAGAAAAATATAACAATTGCCTCAGAATCTAGAGAGTCTGCAATCCAGTGCAATGAAAGATATATCTTATTCACCAAGATGATTAAACTCTGGGCTATAAAACACACTTTAACAAATTTAGAAGAATAGATATCATACTGCTCTCGAGTCACAAAGAAACTAGAAATCAGTAATAGAGAGGCAGGTGGAAAATCCCAAAATACTTGGAAGTTAAGCAACACAATTTTAAAGAACACAAGGGTCAAGTCTGAAATCAAGAGAAATTCAAAACATATTTTCAACCAAATGAAAATGAAAACACAGCTTAATAAAAATGTTTGGAATCTAGTGCAAGCATTGCTTACTAGGAAATTTATAACACTGACTGTATATATTAGACAGAGGAAAGATCTAAAATCAGTAGTCTCAGCTTTTACTTTAGGAAATTAGAAATGGAAGAACAAATTACATCCAAAGTAAACTGAAGAAAAGAAATAATTAAAGTTTGGACAGAAATTAACGACACTAAAAACAGGAAATCAACCAAGAAAACAATGAAGCCAAAATCTGATTCTTTGAAAAGAGCAAAAATATTGAAAAGCCTCTAGTCAAGATAACTGAGACAAAAGAGAGATTTCACAAATTACTAATATCAGAAAGGAAGAAGAGGATACCACTACAGATCTCGTGAGCACTTAAAGGATAATAAGAAATACTATGAACACAGATATGATAACCTAGATGAAAATGGATTTGTTAAAAGACACAACCAGCCAAAACTCATATAAAATACAGACAACCTGAATAGACTCATATTATTTTAATATCTGAATTAATAAAACAGAAAGTACTAGGCTCAGATGTACTGATGGATTCCATCAAACATTTAAGGAAGAAATTATATTAATTCTCTACAGTTCTTTTTCAGAAGATACAAGAAAGACTTTCTAACTCATTCAGAAGGTCATAAACACTTGAATACCAAAACCGGACAAAGATATTACAAGAAAAGAAAACTAAAGATCAATATTGCTCATGAACATAAAAGCAAAAATCTTCAATAATATTAGAACATTAATTTCAATATTAAACAAAAAGAACATCCCAACAAAATGGAACTTCTACTAGGCATACAAAGCTAGTTCAGCACTCAAAAATCAATCACAGCCATCCGTCACTTTCATAGGCTGAAGAACAGTTACACGATCACATCATTAGATGCAGGAAAAGCATCTGACAGAACACAACACCAACCCATGATCAAAACTCTGAGCTAGAGCCCCAGGGCTAGCAAAGAGGCGGAGGCCACAGCTTAAAGGAAACCCTTGCCTCTATCCTTTTGTGTTTGTATAAGATAAAAGAAATAATCCTTCCCTATTGCCCAGAGTCCTGAACAGTGGGGAGACAGTTGAAAAGCATAGACCATAGTCATGAAATACATTAACAAGGAATTTAGTGCTATGGCCTGTGGCCCTCCAGCACAATAGGTTCACTTAGGGATGATATGCTTGACTGGCAAACCACTATGTGGGACCTGATGACAGTTCATTGATATTAAGATGGTATATTAGATTATCCCTTCAAACCACCCAGGGTTGCATTTACAAAAATTTATCATGGAAATACCAACAATAATAGCAGTATTTGTTTTGATATATAAAGATTAGTGGTCTTCTGCTTGAACAAATGTTTCTGAAGTTCTTTCATCTGATTCCAATCTACATGACTCCCTAGTGTTAGAGACTTCATATATCTATAAAATAAAGAAAACTACAACAAAGTAGCTTAACACTGGAACCAAAAGAATGCCATAAGATACTACCTTAAAGTCAGAATAACCTGAGTTACAGTTGAAATAGATTTTTTAAAGATTTATTTTTCTTTATTTGAAAGACAGAGTTACAGAGAGAGGGAGAAACAGAGAGAGAGGTCTTCCATCTGCGGGTTCACTCCCCAAACGGCTGCAGCGGCCGGAGCTACACCAATCCGAAGCCAGGAGTCAGGAGCTTCTTCCAGGTCTCCCACATGGGTGCAGGGGCCCAAGGACTTGGGCCATCTTCTACTGCTTTCCCAGGTCATAGCAGAGAGCTGGATCGGAAGAGGAGCAGCCAGGACTAGAACCGGCGCCCATATGAGATGCCGGCACTTCAGGATAGGGCTTTAACCTGTTGCGCCACAGCGCCAACCCCAGTTGAAATAGATTTTAAATTGTTGATCCTATTTTGATTTATCTAGCTGCTCTCTTATCAGACCTCATCTTCTTAAATTTTATTTTTTAATTTCTTCCTTCCATTCATTCACATTATCATCTGAGAAGACTTAAGTTCTTCCATTTTTGGATAATAATAACTGCTTTTAGAAACTGTAAAATAGTTACAAAGTAAGAATTTCCCAGGATCCAGAATTAAAAAAAAAAAAAAAAAGGAATACATGTATTATCTGGCCAGTGTCTTCACCCCAACTTGGTTGTGAGACTAAAACCATTCCTCACACTCTAACATATTGTAGAAGTCATCTGAAGAGAAGGAGGACAGATGCTCAGCTGCTACATCAAAGGAAGCAGTATTACCACAGCAGAACCACTACTGTTTAGGTCTTTTGTTGTTAAATGTTGAAGGGTGAACCAACGGCAAAGGAAGACCTTTCACTCTCTCTCTCTCACTGTCCACTCTGCCTGTCTGTGGGGAGCAACTGAGACTAGACTAAATTACTGGAACTAAGACTAATTCTATGCATCTGCTCTCCCACAATATGGCGCTGAGAGACAGCAAACAACTTCTACACAGCTGCCTTACCAGTTTGACTGACAAGCTGCAGGAGCTGATCCTGCTCCTGATTGGAGGAGAGCAGCGTGCTCGGCGTGTGGGCAGCAGAGTTGGGATTGGTGGAAGAGGACTATAAAGGAGGAGAGAGACAACATGCATGCATCAGGGAACAGCTGAGGAACATCTGAGCAGCCCCTGAGAGAGCCGGCTGGTGGTGTGCTGCTCCTCCGCGGAAGCAGGGAAAGCGGCGGGGGGGTGGGGGTGGGGGGCGGCAGGTAACCCGGGACGGCGTCGTTCCTCTGCGAGTGAGGGAACGGCAGCAAACCCGGGAAGGGCCGGGCAAAAAGAACAGTGCAGGGTCCGGTGTCGTTCCTCCGCAAATGGGGGAGCGACACCTGTCAATACTTTATCCATTTTAGTATTTTCTCTTTGTTTTGTTCTAGTACTATTGGTTGAACTCTGTGATTAATACACAATTATTCTTAGGTGTTTAAATTTTAACTGAAAAGTGATCCCTGTTAAATATAAGAGTAGGAATAAGAGAGGGAGGAGACGTACAATTTGGGACATGCTCAATCGGACATACGCCAAATAGTGGAGTTAGAATCATGCCAGGGGATTCCAATTCAATCCCATCAAGGTGGCATGTACCAATGCCATCTCACTAGTCCAAGTGATCAATTTCAGTTCACAATTGATCACACTGATAGGTCTAAGAGTCAAAGGGATCACACAAACAAGTCTAGTGTCTGCGAATACTAGCTGATAGAATCAAAAAGGGAGAACGATCCATCATGGGAAGCGGGATACACAGCAGACTCATAGAATGGCAGATGTCCTAAATAGCACTCTGGCCTCAGAATCAGCCCTTAAGGCAGTCAGATATGGCTGAAGAGCCCATAAGAGTATTTTAGGCATGGAAAGCCAAGACATGCTGAGGAAAAAAAAAAAAAAAAGAAGAAGACCTAAATGGAAGATCTCTGCGAGTGAGATCCCGGTGGAAAGAACAGGGCCATCAAAGAAGGAAGTACCTTTCTCTGAAGGGAGGAGAGAACTTCCACTTTGACTATGACCCTGTCAGAATAAGATCGAAGTTGGCAAATTCAAAAGGCTTCCATAGCCTTGGCAACTCATGACTAGAGCCTAGGGAGATTACTGATGCCATAAACAAGAGTGTCAAATTGTTAAGCCAACAACAGGAGTCACTGTGTACTTACT